CCTCGGCCTCATCTTCGGTGACTTTGCCCGGCTCATCGCCCTCGCCCTCGTCATCTTCGGTCTCAGACTCCAGCATCTCTCAATGGCAGCCCTAACCAACAGCTCCGCCAGGCTTCGCTCGGCAACCGCCACGACGCCCCATGCCAAGGCCATGCACAGTACCCAGCCACCCTGCACGGCACGCAATGCTCCTCTGACACCACAAAGCTGGAAGCACATCGTCACGACGGTACTTCTCAACGCCAGAGGACTTGCGAATCCGATGATGTCCCTGCGCAGCCCTAACTTCTACCCCAAGCTGGAGTTGCAGTCCCCAGGCGAGGGGCGTCGTTTTCATCTTCAAGCTATGCAACGTGAACGTATGCACATCAGCAATGTCAAGGGATGTATAGGCAACCATGCAGCGCCGCAGGTGAGACGAAGCTGTGGAATATGCCATCGGGCCCGTCGAAATACCCAAAGGGTAATCACGCTCGGGATATTCAATGTGGAGCTTGGAGAGCACTGCGGCAAAGGAATCGGCGCAGTTATTGCAAGTGGCCCTGCGACCAAGAAACCCCGATGGGCTAGATTTACTCCTCCAACACCATCCGCCAAGTGAGCCCTCAGCCGATGGTAGTGAAGACGATCCACGCGCTGTGCATCCGAAAGCCTCAACCCTGACCAAAACATAGCAAGAAAGCATCCAATTCAACAGGTTCTTCACACGCCACCGCTGCTAGCTCAACTGAAGGAAGCGGCAATGCCTCCGACGGTGCTCGGCGGCTCCACTTCTGCGCTGAAAGCCAACAAAACACCGACATCCGACTGCACATCCGGGGCCACGCGTAAGCAAGAGTCTCTGAGGGTGATGTTGGACCACTGCCGTCAAGATCATAAGCACTGCACTCTTGAGCTACCTTAAATTGATGCTTTGTGCCGAGAACAACCTCGCAAGTCAGAAGCACTGCACACTATATAGAGCAAGGTCTTCAACAGATCAAGATGACATTTTGAATGCCCTGCAGCGGAAAGGGCGGCAAAGCCCAAGACGAGGAGGAGGAGGAGGAAGGACAGGCGAGCACGCACTCGCTGCCGCAACCCGCCTTTCTGCCTTCCAACCTTTGAAATGACCCTGAAACCTACATCCGGCTTCACATCTGCAAGTCACTAACGCTGCAGATTCCACCTATCGCACACTCTTTTGTACCGGCTTGGGGCTTGATGCTTCTCAATGCCATGATGGGTCAACTGTCTGTTCTAGTTTGAGGCCAGCTGCTTTAGAGGCCTGACGACGAATCATTGAATTAATCAAGCGAAAAGTTCAGTCAAGCATGTTCAGATCTCGGGAATCTCGGTGGTAAAATCACATGCAGAGATGCATAAGCTTTCACCACAAATCGCATGTCCAGATCAAATAAGTCGGAGTGAATCGTCCAATACTGGAAATGATCAATCGGAAAATCATCACCAGAGCAACCTCTGGGAGACACAGCACCCTAAGGGAATGCTGTTCTGATTCACACTTGACACAATGTGTCGCAGGCCTCAAGTCGTTCCAGAGAATCAGGTATTTCACTCCAAATCAGGTTGAATCAGTAAGTATCAGGAATCAGACTTTATCCTCATGCCTCCGGCATGCAGCAGTATTTATGAAGAGAGTAATACTGACACACATAACTGCACGCAAAGCTTGTACACACTCAGCGGCTTGACAGAGACATGCGACATGCAAGCTGACAACTGATATAATGGCCATCAGCTGGAGTAACTCTCCCCAGATCGCGCTACCATCTTTCCCCAAATCCCCACATGTAGCACATGCACCTGCAGCGCAACTCGAGTTGCCTGACAAACAGTAGCCGGACCATGAGAGTTGGTCTAGAGTCTAGGCCATGTCCACCGAACCTCTTCTGCTTCCTGTCCAATCCAAAGACCGCCACCGAAGCTAAAGGAAGCTCAAAAGCCCAGGCAGACAAAACCAGACGTCAGCCTCCTTCCATGCCTCGCAGCAATCGTGATTGCTGCCCGTCCAACATAAGAGCGAACACACTCGACACTCGAGGACTAATAATCCAGGCAAGCTCTATCAGCCTGATTTTAAAACTCACATGCAGTGCTACCTGATCCATGACGAAAATACACGAGGTGTCGCGTCGCCAAAACTTCTGAGTGCGACTCTTCCACCATGGTGTCTGGGCATCTGCCTCTCCGAGAAAGGATCAGAGGCTCAGCGCAGAGTCGCTGCCACATCAGCCAGTCCTGGTCCTGCGCTGCAGCGATATTCTCCGAGGCGTCTCCAACCCCCCAGCCTTGGGGCCAAACTGGAGCCGTACTACCGTACTACTTCGACGGATTTCTGCAGTGAGCATCTGACGCGGCGGACGATGCTGCTCGGGCAGCTTCGGAATGGGCGGACTGGCGATGCGCCCAACTACCCACAACATCCCACAACACTGTCCACTTTTGAAACATGCCGGCTCCAGCAGCTTGGACTTGCCTTGGTTGCAGTTGAGTCATCAAAGGTGATCAAGTTTCCCTGCTTCGAAGGTTCTAAGGGAGGCACCCATACGCGGTTTTGGCACTGGTGGAGGGCACCCAAGCGGAGTCGATCGCCTAAACCGCTCAACAAACGCTACGTTGCGAGATGTTACGAGCTGCAGCTGCCCCGGTTGAGGACGAAAAACGACACTGAGAACATCTTAGAACCCTCATTCGGGCTCATGGTCGGCTTACGCAAGCTGTGCAGGTCGCATGGAGCCTCGATCTCAACTCATGCAACACTGCAGTCGCTTCTTCTGGCCTTGCATCGTGCCACTAGGAGCAGTCTGCTCACGACGAGGTCGCTAAGCAAAGACTATAAGCTTCCCACAAGCTGAACTCTTGTTTGAGCTCTGCTTCCACTTCTTTCCGCCGCCTGCAACACTGCGAATGCAAAGCAGAGACCTAACATCTTCTGAACTCGAGGTCTCAGCTGATAGAGTTTCGAATGTCTCCCCAGCAACGCATCGCCCGGATCCTCGCCGGCTCGTTGTCACACTTTGTCTGAGTTACATTTCCAGACATTTCAAGACTCCTCCAGTGGGTCTCTGGAGGGCTCTCTGTGTACCTCCATGGCTTGGAGAGTTTATCGGGAAGCATGTCAGAATCGCATCGTTGTGGCCTGTCGGTAGTCCTGTCGGCACTCTCTGGGTAGAAGTTCTGACCTGCGACACAAGCGAAGACACAGCTGCTCGGAGCTTCCAGCTTGCAGCCCACAACCGAGGCGATGCGTGAATGTCCCTGTCAGGCCCTGTAAGCTAGCAGCAGGTGGGGGTGCGGCGGTGGAGGCGCCACAGCTGTCAAAACAACACCTCACGACCACCAACAGCTGCCCTCTCTCAGCGTTCTGAAGCGGAACCGAGAGTGTTGCGTACAGAGTGCGCATCCGACCTTGGGACTTCCAATGAAAAAGGTAAAAAGCGCGAAACCTGTCTTCGTGGCATGATTTTTCCAACATCTGGGCTTCCTGCTCCATCGAATCGAAGCTATGCTATGTGCCAAGAGCCTGAACCAGCAGGCACAAACAAGGCTGGCGCAAACAAATCAATCTGCTCCCCCTCCCAGCTCCCTCCCTTTTGCCGCCCCCCCGTCGTAGACACGTACTATTCAGGGTCTCGCAAGGTGATGGCTTCGAGACACTTGTGGCACACCGGCGAGCTGTGCCTATCACGGCTTCTCCAGGCTGGCTCAGGGACGTGTGGCACGAGCATCGCAGCACACCTTCAAGCTCACAAGCTAGCAAGCTGGATTGTCTATACACGCCCGTGACTGTCTCTGAGGAACAGCTCGCCTGCGAGTTCAAGGTGCGCTTCCGAGCAGTCGTCATCCTAACTAAGCTAAAGGACCTTACTTTCGCAAGGGGGCATTACAATGCATTACATGCTTGCTTCTGCCCGGGTACCGGAGTGCTCTGTTCCGGCCAGCTGTGCGTGTAGATTCCACAGTCTCCCTTATGACACAAGATTCGTTGGCACAGCCTAACTCAATCCCGACTCCAAAAGACTTTGCTTGTCAACTTCTGCACTTCTGCCATGCTTGACATGTTCTGTTGGCGGACGAGCCTGCCATATCGACATAGAACCACAAATCAACAAACGCATCGGGTCGATGAAAGCTTCTACTCCACAGACCTGGCATTCGAGTCTTTGCCTGGCTTCTGCGTCTGCCCTGAGCAATGAGTGGCACCAAGTGCCCCTAAGACGAAATCTTACACGTCGGGATTCATCCTCGAGCATCCGGAAGCTGCGAGTTTTTTGTCTACGAAGCTTTCCCCCTATTGTGGCCCAGCTCACACACACACACACACCCGCAGTGCAAACCTGCTTTGAGTGCTGGTCACAATTCGGGACCTCATTGTTTGGTCTCAAAGGGCAAGTGTCACACAAACGAGCCTAGCTGTCTGGCTTCAGGCTCTTCCGCACACAACTACTTCAGAATTCAGTCCTCAACCGCCCCATGCCGAAGCCTCGCCGACTCGCATGTGCTATCCGGGCAATTCCGGGCACTTTTCGGGCGCCGCATCGAATAAGCGTCCAAGCCGCTTGCACATAGTCTCTCTTTGTACAGCAGTATGCTGAGTGTCAAAGTGCAGCATCCTCCTAACGTGATAATGATACTCAGATACTCCTCTCAGATACTCTTATCTTCCGGGCATGGCGCCAGCCCAGCTCTGGCAACTCTGAGATCAAAGAGCCTTCTGACTGGAACCCAAGCCCTCTTTTCAACTCTCAGCATGTAGTCGTGAGACGGAGACTGCAAGTGTTTCGCGCGGAGCTCAGTTTTTTCATCAGCAAGAAAGACTATGAATTAGCGGGGCTTGTGCTCTGAGAAAGACCAAGCGGTGTGGATGCGCGCACCGCTGCTTACTTACTCTTATGTGTGCTCCTGTTCACACCTTCGGCAAAACAGGGAAAGCTGTGCAGCAAAACTCTTGAAAGAAGCTATGATGGCGACGAACAAAGCCTGTACTTTTGGTTGTTTCAAGGAAATTTCATGCCACCGGCCGCCACAAACGCATCCATGTTATCCTCATGTGCAGCCGCGTCATGCTTCAAGCTACACTGTTTGCGTTGCAGAATTGTTGCATTGTCCTGCGGAACCAGGGCACCAACAGGAAGGACATCAAAATGAGGGCTGTGGGACTCCAAGTGGGCCTGTCACACGCATCTGTAACGCTCCACGGTTGGCACTTCGATCGCGCCTGCCACTCAAGTTCAGAGAAGAGCTCCTGGGGCTTTCGTAGCGTCTTCGTGAACTCCCCGTGCCTTGGCGACAAGCTGTGAAACTGACAACCTCTGTAGCCCTTGGAGCGAGACGATTATGAAAAATGCAGAATATGCATGATACATTATATGCATTTGTGTAGGTACGTAGGTCGGTCGGTCGGTCGGTCGGTCGGTCGGTCGGTCGGTGGGTGGGTGGGTGGGTGGGTGGGTGGGTGGGTGGGCAGGTGGGCAGGTAGGCAGGTAGGTAGGAGGTAGGCAGCTAGGCAGGCAGCAGGGAGGCAGGTAGGCAGGTAGGCAGGTAGGCAGGTAGGCAGGCAGGCAGGTAGGCAGGTAGGCAGGTAGGCAGGTAGGTAGTGGTGGTAGTAGTAGTAGTAGTAGTGGTAGTGGTAGTGGTGGT